GATGGATTTCAGGGTGTCCCAGATGAATTTTGGGGTGTCCCAGGATGGATTTTGGGCTCTCAGGGATGGATTTCGGGGTGTCCCAGATGGATTTCGGGGTCCCGGGTGGATTTCGGGGTGCCGCTCACCGTCAGCGCCAGCGCCAGGCTCCCGGCGCAGCCCATCATGCCCAGCAGCCCCACCAGCTGCAGCACGCGCCGCCCCGCCCGCTCCACCAGCACCACCTGCGGGGCGGGGCGTCAGGGGACACGCCCACCCGAGACCACGCCCACCCGAGGCCACGCCCACCGAGCCACGCCCCCTTTGGAAGCCACACCCCAGGGGACACGCCCCCGGTGGAAACCACGCCCCTCGTGGAAGCCACGCCCATCCCTGGAAGCCACGCCCACCATGGAAGCCACGCCCCTTCTGGAAGCCACGCCCATCCCCGGAAACCACGCCCCTTGTGGAAGCCACGCCCACCGGGAGGCCACGCCCCTTGTGGAAGCCATGCCCAACCCTGGAAGCCACACCCCTTGTGGAAGCCACGCCCACGGTGAGGCCACGCCCTTTGAGGAAACCACGCCCCTTGGAGAAGACACGCCCCCAAAGCCACACCCACTGGGAAGTCATGCCCACGGGAGGCCACGCCCCTCGAGGAAGCCACGCCCACAGGAAGGTCACACCCCTTGGAGAAGACACGCCCTCGGGAAGCCACGCCCATTTGTGGAAGCCACGCCCCCGGGAAAAACCACGCCCCTTGTGGAAGCCACGCCCACCATGCGGTCACGCCCAGTTTTGACCACACCCACAATAAGGCCACGCCCACTCACGACCACGCCCATCTCGAGGCCGCGCCCAATTATGGCCACGCCCAGCACGAGGCCACACCCACAAATAGACCTCTCCCACTCGTGACCACGCCCACCACGAGGCCACGCCCACCAATGAGACCCCACCCCTTCAGGACCACACCCACCTTGAAGACTCCGCCCACCGTGGGCCACGCCCCCTGTGAGACCACGCCCACCCAGACCACGCCCACCCCAATTGAGATTCCACCCACCGGGGCCACACCCCCGAGAGACCACGCCCACAACGAGACCCCGCCCCTCTTGACCACGCCCACCGGGCGTTCCCCGCGCCCCCATTGGCTGCGTGGCAGTGGGCGTGGCTCACCGACAGGGCGGTGGCCGCCACGTTGACCACGCCCGTCCCGATGGTGCCGACGGCCGGGTCCTGAAGCCCCGCCCCCTCGAAGATGGACGTCGAATAGTAGAAGATCTGGGGCGGGAAAAGGGGGCGTGGTCAGCAGGACGCGCCCAATCAGGCCACGCCCCCATTGGCCACACCTCCAGGAAGCCCCGCCCCAAAATCCCTGTCCCAAAAAGGGCCACGCCCACGAGGCTCCGCCCCTTTAGGCACCGCCCCTAAAGCCACGCCCACCTCCCATTTAGCCACGCCCCTTCCTCCAAGCCCCGCCCCTTCCTCAGTCTCTGGCTCCGCCCCTTTCTGACCACGCCCTGTTAAGCCCCGCCCCAATCCCGGCGGTCCTGATTGGTGGAATGTCAAGGCCACGCCCCTCTCTTCACAAGCCACGCCCATTTCACAGAGCCACGCCCGTTTTCCCACAAGCCACGCCCATTTCCCACAAGCCACGCCCGTTTCATACAAGCCACGCCTATTTCCCTTAAACCACGCCCATTTTTTATGATTTTTGCCCCGTTTTTTCCCGATTTTGGTTAATTTCTCCCTGTTTTTTCCCAATTTTGGGCATTTTCCCCCGTTTTTTCCCAATTTTGGGGTTTTTCGCCCCGTTCTCACCGCGTTGATCCCCGAGAGCTGCTGCGCCAGAGCAATGTTAATAGCCACGCCCAT